CTGGCTATTCTCCTGTTCCAGCAAATAAACCACAGCAGTATTGTTCTTGAGCCATTTCATATTTACCCTCACCCCCTCACACAACTGCTCAACTTTGAAAGGATCTGGAACTAATTTACTCATTTAATCAATCGGGGAAGAGTTTCCTTAAAGGAACAATCCATTCAGCATCACTGCAGTGCTCTGCCCTGGCTCCAAAAGCATCCCTGGGTCTTGTCCTTCAAATTGACATTTGAAGTTCAAACAATTGTAGGGCAGGGAGGGAATGGAATAGTTGTAGAATGGACAGCCAGGGCTGCAGGTTCTGCATACTCAGGGGGAGGACCCAATCCTACATCCATGACAGTCCTATTCAGTGTGGCAGTTGTATTGTTGTACATGCCTTCCAGCCAGATGCTAGGTCTAGCTGGAGTGAAAGACCTAAGACATTGCTGTGCATGGAGAAGGAAAGGAACAAAAAACAGTTTATGTCTGGTGCTTTTTTCTGGTCTCAACTTTTCCCATTTTTTCCCTCCTATTCAGGTAGAATGAATAGTATTGTTCTCTGTAGATGACATGAAGTTGACACAAAGGGTTTAGAAACACACACATTGTCTCTTTTCAAACTAGGTATAAATGGCAGGGCTTTTAAGAGGCCAACACAGCACAGAGTGTGGGCTCTGCATGCTGTCTGGGCGGAAGTCCTAGCTCCCCACTCAAGGGCTGGTACTTCCAACTGCTTCATTGCTTTATCACTTTCCCATCTATAAAGCAGAAAAAAATACGATAGAAATAAGTTGTTAGAGTGGAGAGTAGATTAAGTATGGAAATGCTCATAAAGTACTAAGAACAGAGGTGCTGCTTATTAATTATTCTTATTATTTGACTTGGGTGGAAATGGATAATCTAAAACTTAAGACTAACCTCAGCAGCTTGGTAGATGCTAGTTTGCTCAGTCTTTGTTATTCCCACTTGGATTGTCATTAAGAAAAATAGGCTCAGCACTGGTGGCTCATGCCTGTAATCCTAGCAGCTCAGGAGGTTAAGATCTGAAGATCATGGCTCAAAGCCCATCCAAAATTGTTATCTCCAATTAACCAGCCGAAAGCCAGAAGTGGGGGTGTGGTTCAAGTGGTAGAGTATTAGACTTAAGCAAAACAGGCACAAGTAAGAGCATAAGGCCCTGTCTTCAAGGCCCAGTACTAGCAAAAAGAATGGGGGCAGGGGAGGGAAACAGAAAGTATTCTATTTCCTAACTGACTAGAATCTCAACGGACTCTGTACCTGGGAGACTCTTCCACTAATGGCTATTTTCGCAGATCCTAGGTTTGTACCAGCCGAGGGCAAAACTGATCACCTAAAGGAGAAAGATGTTTTTCAATCTCTTCTTCAGAAATCTGAACTCTTTTCCTTCATGATTTACATGTTCTTCTAAAATCAACTGACAGTTTGTACATTATTCACTACCTTAGAATCCTATCTCTGGACACATAGACACATGTCTATGGCTCCAACCCAGTATCCTATAAACAAAAAAAACCACGGGATTCTACTATCAAGTCTCCTTCCCCCTTTCCATTATGTTGTCTTCATGCAGTCAAGGTATTTTATCCTCTTCACCACTCTATTTCCCTTCCTTTGCTCTTCCATCTTCATTCCCACTGATCCTCTCCTAGTCAGTTCCCACAAGCCACACTAACACTACTATCACCAGCATGTTAGGCTTATAGTCCACAAATAAAGAACATGTAATATTTCACTTTCTGAGCTTGGCTTATTTCACTTAATATGAGCCTCTTCAGTTCTATCCATTTCCCTTCCAATTATATAGTTTTATTTTAAATTTTATTGTCAAGGTGATGTACAGAGGGGTTACATATGTAAGGTAGTGAGTACATTACTTGTCAAACTTGTTACCCCCCTCCATTTTCTCCCACTTTCCCTCCCCACCATATCGGTTTATTATTTTATAGCTCAGTAGAATTCTGTGGTATAAGTGTATATGTTATGTGTGTTTACTCACAAGATAGATATATTTTCTTGATTCACTCATCAGTTGCTAGGTACCCTGCTAATCCCACAATTTGATTAACATGAACACATGGCTGCAATGAACATGCATGTGCAGGTATTTTTCCAGTATATTGATTTACTCTCCTTTGACTATATGCCCAAGTGGTATGGAGGAGACATAAGATAGGTCTATTTTTAATGTTCTGAGAAACCCCCCATGCTGATTTCTATAGTTGTTGCAGATCTACTTTACATTTTCACCAACAGTTCCTTATTCCCCTGCATCCTCACACCAGCATTTGTTGTTTATTTGCTTGATGACTGCCATTCTGACCAGAGTAAGATGGACTTTTGATTTTCATTTCCTTTATGGCTAAGGAACAATCTTTCATTAGCCACGTGTTTCTTCTTGAGAACAGTTTGTTCAAGCTGTTGTCTATTGATTGTTGTCTTTTCTCCAGTGGATGCTTTTGGCTCCTTCGGTGGTCCACTTTTTAATTACATTTCTTTTTATTATTGAATTATAACAGAATGTCATATTTTCTGCAAGTCTCTTATTAAATATAATTTAGAGTATTTTCTCACATTCCATGGATTGCATTTTCACTTTGCTCTGATTTCCCTTGGAAGCTCAAGTTCTTTTCTTTGAACTCTGATGATACCCAATTATTTTTTCTTTCACTTTTTATACTTTTGCTGTCCTAAGAAATCACTGCCAAACTCACAATGACAAAAATGTACCCCTTTCTGTTCTTTTAAAAGTTTTTTAATTCTGCTGGTCACCAGTGTAGTAATCCTAGTTATGCAGGAGGCTGAGATCTGAAGATAGCCGTTCAAAGCCAGCCTGGTCAGGAAAGTCCATGAGACTCTCATCTCCAATAAACCACCAGAAAACTGGAAATGGCTCTGTGGTTCAAGTGGTAGAGCATTAGCCTTGAGCTGAAGAGCATAGGGACAGCACCCAAACCATAATTCAAGCCCCACAACCAAGAAAAAAAAAGTTTTAAACTCTTACATTCAGGCAAGTGAGTCATTTGAATTCATTATTGTATATGCTGTGAGCAGGATTCCTGCTCAATCTTTTGCATGCATATGACCAGGTGTCTCTGCGCCACCTGCTAAAAATGGCTTAATTCCTCATTGAATTATTCTGTCAGCCTTATTGAGAGAGAGAGGAAAAAAAAAAGCAACTGACCACAAATGTGAACATTTCCTTCTGATTCTCATGTCCACTGACCTGCACGTCATCTACCCATATACCTAGACCACTCTGTCCAAATTACTTCAAGTTTCAAAATGGAGGTATTTGAGTACTCCAATATAATTTTCTTGCAGATTATTTTCACTATTCTGGGTTCTGCAAAGAAGCCAGCTGATGATATTTTGATAGGGACTAAGTTATATCGATAGCATAATCTGGGAAGTACTACCATATTAACAAACCTATGTCTCCTAATTAATAACCTGGAAAAATATTCCCTTTTTTTCCCAAAAAAGTTGTTTGTCTTTTTCTTTTTGGGGGGGTTGTTGGCAACACTTAAACCATATACCCAGTTCTATTTGTTTTTGTTATTTTTACAGTTCGGTCTTTTTTTCCCCTTTTGTGCCAGTGCTGGGACTTGAACTCAAGGACCTGAGCACTGTCCTTGAGCTTTTGTGCTCAAGGCTAGTACTGCTCTGCCACTTGTCTCATAGCTCCACTTCTAGCTTTTTGCTCGTTAACTGGAAATATGAGTCTCATAGACTTTCCTGCCCTGGCTGGCTTTGAATCATGATCCTAAGATCTCAATCTCCTGAGTAGCTAGGATTATTAGCATGAACCACAAGTACCCAACATTTTCCTCCTACCCCTACTTCCTGAATAGCTGGGATTACAGATGTGTGTTGCTGAATATAGTTTTTAAAAAAGGCAGCTGTTTCTATAGACAAGCATTCACTTCTGTTAAAATGTTTTATTAACAGCCAGCCACCTGTGGCTCACACCTGTAATCCTATCTACTCAGGAGACTGAGATCTGAGGACTCCGGTTCAAAGCCAGTTTGGGCAGGAAAGTCCAGGAGACTCTCATCTCCAAGTAACCAGCAAAAAGCTGGAAGTGGAGTTGTAACTCAAGTGGTAGAGGACTAGTCTTAAGCAAAATGCTCAGAAATAGCATTTAGGCCCTGAGTTCAAACTCCAGAATTGGTACCAAAAAATAAAATTTAAAAAAGGTACTCCCATACATTTTTAACTCTTTTAAAGTTAAAGTTCTGAATTTCATTTTTACTTACTGTTGATTATAAATACAATGTTTATATATTGATCTTGTATTCTGCAACATTATTGAATTTATTCTAATAGATTTTTAGTAAATTTCTTGGACTTTCTGCACAAAAGCTCATGTCATCTGAGAGTACATAAGTTTACTTCTTCCTTTCCAGTTTAGACACCTTCTATTTTGTCTCCTTATCTACTTACTTGCCACAATAACTAGCTCCAACTTCCAGTACTGACTAAATAGAAGTAGCAAGCACAAAGCATCCAGTCTCATGTTCAAGTGAAGTTTCCAAACATAAAAGTCTGATTTTATTTTTCCAGGCACCACCAGCTTTTTGTTCCACCAGAGTTTAGTGAGAACTCCATTCTTTAAGCTTTGACTAAAATGTCACTTGGGGGGAGGGGGGGGAGGGGGGCGGGGCACCTTCCCTGCACCTCCAATCCAGACGCACTTGTCATAACTGCAACAAGGCATGTCAACACCTCCCTCCCTCTTACGTGGTCCAACCTTGCTCAGAGCTGTGAACACATCACTAGCTGTTGCTCCACGCCAGCTTCAATTGCTATGGTGTTTCCTGACCTTTGGTAGGGACACTCTTCTTCTACAAATTCTATTTCTCTTCCTCTGCTTTACTCAACCTTATATGCAGCACCTTATAATCTGGTACTCATGAACCCTTATGAGCCTCTGCATTGTTTGGATGCTTCCTAAAAGGAATGTAAGTTTTGCCCAACAACAGAAGAAATCTTACCTTCAACAGGGCCAATCTGATTGGTCACAGCAAATCTCAGCACACCTTCATCTTCATTGTACAAGGCAAAGATCCGGTCCACTGTCAGCTGCTGGGTGGCAGGCACAGCCTGGTGTCTAGGGGCATGCCTGCACACCTGGTAAGTGACATTCTGGTGTATCCGGTATGACCATGTTTGGTTGATGTCACCCAAAGTAAGAGAGTAGTCTCTGGAACTAGTGGAGGTCACAGCTGTAACATTTTACAGGCCAATTGGTAAATATTTCTAAATATTAATTAAATTCTCATGTGGGGTGGGTTTTTCTACAGTTATTGTTGGTTGATGTTATTGTTGCTCTGATAGTGGGGCTTGACCTCAAGGCCTGGGCGCTGTCTCCTACCTTTTTAGGCTGACTTCGAACTGCAATTCTCAGATCTCAGCCTTTGGAGTAGCATTTTAAATGGCAAGACCAAGAGGTCAAGTCTCATCTGTCAACTCCAAATGTCACATTTGCTTCATACCATTTGCAAGGATTCTAAGAATTTTTAAAGCAGGCTGAAATCATCAGAACAAGGTTACAGGATAAATTCTAATAATCAATATTTCGGCTGGGCATGGTAGCTCACGCCCGTAATACTAAGTACCAAGGAGGCAGGAAAGGCTGAGACTCTTATCTCCAATAAACCACTTAGAAAACCGAAAGTGATGCTGGGGCTCAAGTGGTAGAGGACTAGCCTGGAGCTGAAGAGCTGAGGGACAGTGCCCAGGCCCAGAGTTCAAGCCCCACAACCGACAAAATTTTTTTTTTTTTACTTATACCCGAGGGTAAACAGCATGGTCAGGAACTATGTTTTATCATCACTACCTCCCCCCAACAATTTTTAATTGATTGATTATATTATTACTTTTTGAAAGGACACATTCTATGTACAGGAGCCAACCCTCTGCTCACTCACACCATCCGTTTCACAATAAAATCAAAAATGAGCCAGGCACTGATAGATCATGCCTGTAATCCTAGCTACTCAGGAAGTTGAGATCTGAGGATTACAGTTCAAAAACAGCCTGGGCAGGAAAGTCCGTTAGATGCTTATCTCCAATTAACCACCAGAAAACCAGAAGTGGAGTTGTGGCTCAAGCCTTGAGCTGAAGAGCTCAAGGACAGCGCCCAGGCCCAGAGTTCAAGGCCCACAAAAACAAAAGACTGACAAAAACAAAAAAGCAAAACAAACAAACAAAAAAAACATGATTCTGAACTCATTTGGTATGCTACATATTGTTCTAGAACATTCTATATGAGACAAGTAAAATGCTCATGTTAGAGATGTAGAAGCTGGTTACCCATACCTGAGTCTGAGTAATGGTAAAGCTCTTTGTAGGGAGCCATGTGGGCTGTAAAATTTGCTGGGATGTAGGGCACCTGGCCTTGGATATCGGTCCTCATGCTCAGATAGTTCTCTGGGTCAAGTCCCTCAGCAGTTTGAGTGATGCAAAGCCTCTCCCCTCCTGGGTAGAAAATAACTTCCATGTCATGAGTAAAGGTGGCCCCTGCAGAGGACAAAAATTCAGACAGGGGTCAAAAGAAGCTCCACTTACATGATTACCAGTACTGGCTGAGCAGAGTGCTTACCTAGTATGCCTAAGGCTGTGGGTTTGATCCCCAGTACTGCAAAGTCAAAATAAGTGCTTTTCAGTCATTAGCTGATATCCAAACTAAGTCCTATCAGCTTTGGATGCCCTAAACCCCCCACATTTGATATTAGAGTCTCATTTCCTCCCTTACTTCATACTCTTTCTCTTTATACGAGCTTGTATTCTGTAAGAAATACATTCTTGGGAACATCCTGGACTTCGTTCTGAGGTTGCCAGAATTAGCAAAAACAAACCAGCAAAAACAAGACATGAAAAAAAAAAAACATAAACCAGGATATCCAGATATCTTAAATTTGCATTTCAGATAAACATGGATATATTTTTCTTATATACTTCATGACTACTTAGGGAATGTTTATACTTTGAAAAATTGTGTATCTTAAATTCTAACTGAATGTTGTGTGCTATATTTTATCTACTTTTGACCCAAGATTTTATTTAAATCTTGATTCAAGGCAAGATCTTATAAACAGCTATTAAAATCTGCAGTTTCTCTCATTTTGTGTTCAAGAAAAAAGAAATAAGTCCTTGTAGATACATAAAAAGCCAAAAAGTTTCCTTCATGCTGTCAAAGGAGGTCCTTGGCCTGGTATGATGGCACATACCTGCAGTCTTAGCTACTCAGAAGGTAGAAGTAGGAGGATCCTAGTCCAAAGCCAGCCCAGACCAAAATATGATACCCTATCCTAATAAGCTAAAAGCAAAAAGACCAGAAGTCCTGAGCTCAAGCCCCTCTACTAGAATAGGAGAATAAGGAAGGAAGGAAGGAAGGGAGGGAGGGAGGGAGGGAGGGAGGGAAAGTGGAAGGGAGAAAGGGTGGAAGGGAGGGAGGGAGGAGAGCGAAGAGAGGAGAGGAAGAAGGGAGGGAGGGAGAGAGGAAAGGAAGGAACGATCGTTCAATTAGCAACTTTAGCATCTTCTGAAAGCTTATTTAAAAAGCACATGACTGGGAATGTGGCTTAGTGGTAGAGTGTTTTGCCTATATGCATGAAGACCTGTGATTCCTAGTATCACATAAACAGAAAAAGCCAGACGTGGCATTGTGGCTGAACTGGTAGACTGCTAGCCTTGAGCAAAAGAAGCTCAGGGACAGTGCCCAGGCCCTGAGTTCAAGCCCCAGGATTGGAAAAATAAAAATAAAGTAATAAATAAATAAATAAGCAGACTCATAACCCACCCACCCATCCAGAAATTTATGCCCTCTTAAGCCATGCAGGTGGCTTGTATGCAGGTTGAAGTATGACAAGCACTGGCACATGCAGGTACAAGAAGTAAAATCTTCTCTGGGTGCCCAAAGGTACCATGTGGCATCCCTATTTGCCTGTATGAAATGGCTCAAAAGGTGACAAATACAGCTGGGAGAACATTTAGAAGCAATTGTAGTCTTTGAATCAGTTGTGTGAGTCCAAACCAGTCCCAATGAACGGTACACAGAACTCCACAAATCTAGGGTGCAAGAACAGGCAGATCCTCCTTCACCCCAAGAAGCAAAACAGCAAAGCAGAGCGACTTGGGGGTCCTTACTCACCAGTGAGGCTGAAGCCGTTTTCAGAGCCTGGCTTTTCCAAAGCAAAGAGCCAACCAAACAGGCCTCCGATTGGCGTGAGGGGGAGAAGGGCTTGGGCCGCTGGCTGCGGGATATGGCTGATGGCTGTGTAGGCCCTGCCATCATTGCCCACGATGTAAGCATGCAGGTCCACATCAGTAAAGTGCACGGGCGTGGGGCCCACACGGAGGTGACCACTCACTTTTCCATTGACCCGGTGAGGTGCCCCTGAGAGTCAGAAAATCCAGTTAGCCTTAGCCCTGGCCATGGCCCATAGAGTAGGCACCCACACAAAATAATTCCCCTCACAACTCCCCAAACTCCCTCCGCCCTTCCTCCCACCCCCCGGTCATGGGACTTGAACTCTGGGCCTGGGAGCTGGCCCTGAGCCTTTCAGCTCAAGGCTAGCACTCTACCACTTGAGTCACAGTGCCACTTCCAGTTTTCTGGTAGTTAATTGGAGATAAGAGTCTCACAGCCTTTCCTGCCCAAACTGGCTTTGAACCGAAATCCTCAGATCTCAGCCTCATGCGCTTTGAACTGAGATCCTCAGATCTCAGCCTCGTGCGTTGCTAGGATTACAGGCATGAGCCACCAGAGCCTGGCTCTACAAATCATTTTAATGAAGCCCAAGAGATCTCTTTCTCCCTCTCTTCTTTCTCTCCCTTCCCCAAAGGCTTGGGGTAGGGGGAGAGACTTCTGATGAATCATCAGAGTAGGAAATGGCCCCAACCTGTTGCTAACACTAGATTCAGGCAGAGAAGTAAGGTCCACAGAGCCAAGCTCACACTTCAGACAGACAGACAGAAAGAAGACAGAAAGGGCGCCCCCAGGCCATCAGTCACCTTCTGGTAAGCAGTGTTTCCCATTTCCGTAGAACCTAGATTGGCAGTGGCAGCAAAAGCCGGTGGCATAGTCGGTGCAGAAGGCATGCCGAGAGCATTGATCATGGCTGTGTTCGCAGGTCTCCTGGCGGCCAGCATTGTAGGTGAAGACTGAAAAACAAAACCAACAGCCATCAGAAGCTGCTGAGCTTTTACCATGGAGATGGCATCTGAGCCACAAAATCTGTTGGGATGATAATAAACCAAGAGGGTTTTGAGGCTTAAGAGAGGGGAATTTGCTTGCTTTGTTTTGGCAAGAAGTGAGGCTTTCTGAAGCCTTGTGGGTCTCACAGTGATGCTGGAAAGCGATGACCTCGCTGTACCCCTGGGGTCTGAGGACTGCACAGTGAGCAAGTCAGTTAAAAAAATGGCCACAGACCAGCCAATTCCGCATGGGTCACCCTACAAGTAATGAGCTGCTAGGAGAAGAAAAAGGAAGGGAGCTAATAATTGAGATATGTCCAATCATTCTTCTTGTAACTCTGGACTTTAATAAGCTACAGCTAGTCTCACTACCCAGACTTTTCTTTTCTGAAAAAGAAGGGCCTTGAAGAGTGTACATACACCTATTATAAAGAAGAATGAGGTGTCAGGCACCAGTGGCTCAAGCCTGTTATCCTAGCTACACGGGAGACTGAGATCTAAGGATCGTGGCTAGAAGTCAGCCGAGGCAAGAAAGTCCATGAGACTCTCATCTCCAATTAGTCACCAAAAGGCTGGAAGTAGAGCTGTGGCTCAAGTGGTAAAATGCCAGCCTTGAGTGAAAAAGCTAAGGACAGTGCCTAGGTCCTGAGTTCAAGCCTGGTACAAGAACAAGAAAAAGGAGGAGGAAGAGGAGGAGGAGAAGGAAAAGGATGAAGAAGAGGAAGAGGTGGTAACAGAGGAGAAGCAGCAGGAAGGGCTGAAGGAGAGAGAAAGGAAGAGAGAATCAAGGAGTAAAAATGTTCTGACCCTTGCAGCCCCAGCACAAGCATGATTTCTATGCAAGAGAGAGTTTGAGTGACAGTCACAGACTTTCTAGAAAGCCGTAGTAAACTAGGATGAGCTTGAAGTCCAGGCTCTGTTGCTGCTGTCTCCCACTTATTTGGCTCATTAAAAAATTTAAAAAGAGGAGGGAGAGAACGGGGGGGGGGAGAGCGGGAGATGGGAAGGGATGGGAAGGGGAAACAAAAGAGGAGGCAACAATGCTTGATAAGAAATGTACTCATTATCTTGCTCGTGTAATTTTAACCCCTCTGTACGGTATTTTCACAATTAAAAAAGAGAGAAAAAAATTTAAAAAGAGGGTTATTTGTGCTACAGGGGGAAAAAAGAGCAAAGTCCATTGTCTATAAAGGAAGTGTCCCAAGGTGACAGGGTGTGGAGGGATTCATAGTGGGCACAAGACTGCCAGGACACTGATGAAAATGTCAAGTCCAGCCATGGCCAGCAGGAGGCCAAGAGGAATCCTGCAGCTTGCAGCATCACAAGCATAGAGAAGAAATGACAGGGAAGTCTGATGGACACTAGTGGTCCTGTCACCAAAGACACCCTACCAGGAAAATCTAGATCACAGCTGCATTCCAGGTCTGAGTCCAAAATGAGAAATCAGGAGGGGAAGGAAGACATCAAAAGATCAATATTCCAAGACAGGAAACCAATGAGGAAAGTACAGAACTATATATGTAACAACTGGAGACTTGTATCTCCAATTAAAAGGAGTATAAACTTCTATCCTCAAGAAAATGTTACATGTAACAACGTTAACATTAATGTTTCATATATACAAAATACTCTGTCCCAAAATATAAGTTGAAATCTTTTCATTTTACACAAAAACCCTGGGAAGCAGGAACTGTTTTTAATCTTTGTTGTTTGCAGATAAAGAAACTGTTTAGCCAGGCACCAGTGGCTCACACCTATAATCCTAGCTACTCAGGAGGCTGAAAGTTTGAAACCAGCTCAAGCAGGAAAGTCTGTGAGATTCATCTCTGTTTAACCACCACAAAGACAGAAATGGAGCTGTGGCTTAAGTGGTAGAGCACCAGCCTTGAATGAAACAGCTAAGGGACAGCACCCAGGCCTGAGTTCAAGCTCCAGCACTGGCACACACAAAGGAAGGAAGGAAGGAAGGAAGGAAGGAAGGAAGGAAGGAAGGAAGGGAGGGAGGGAGGGAAAGAGAGAGGGAAGGAAGGCATCTGAAGTCACCCAGGCAGTGCTTGACAAAGGTGGATCTCAACCCAGAATTTTTTTTGAGGTCACTTTGACCTTTTGTTGTTGTTGTTGTTGTTGTTATTGTCAAGGCAATGTACAGAGGGGTTACAGTTACATAAGTAAGGTTCAACTCAGAATCTTGACGACCACTACTCTCCCCTACCCTCAGTGGGATCCAAGTTCTTACCAGAGGAACACTATAGCTTAAAGATATATCAGGTAGTTATTAGTCATTAATCAGCACTGGCTCTAGCAAGCCAGATGGACTACAGATGAGGCTAATGAGAAGACAGAGCAGAGATGGCCCATGGAGAGCCCAGAATGTGAGAAGAGCCCAGGTAAGAGTGGAGAGCACAGCCATTCACTTTTGGAGAGCACCAACCAGCTGAAGAGTGCCAGGTGGAGCAGAGAAGCCCGCCTCGAATGGAAAACCTGACAGGAGTGCAGGAAGAATGAAGTCAGCGCCTTGTCAAGATTTGTCCTCGAGCCTTGATGATGTGGCTGAGAAACTCCAGCTTCACTACAAATAGAAAATTAGGCATAACTTAACTTTTGAACAGGAAAGTGACAGGCAGAACTCAAATTGCTCTGAAACAGGAAAATGACAAAATTCAAAGCATTAAAAAAAAAACAGGCGGATCATGATAAATTATTAGAGGTTTCTATAAGGAAAACCATCACTGTATCACTGGCTTAGAACACAGGTGTTTTCTTTTTATTTACTTAATATGTTTGGTCCTGGAGAAGGAACTGGGACCTCACACATACGAAGTATATACTCCACTGTGCTACAACCCCAGCCCTCCAAAAACCATGCTGAGTAAACAAAAATGAATGTGACTTGGGTGTGTCAAAGTCTCAGGTTTCTTCAGCTAAGAAAATCACAAGTAAGTGTGTGCTGCAGTTACTTGAGAAGCTTGAACAGTGTGTCCTATAGAGGGGTGTGTGTTTGTGTGTGTGTGTGTGTGTGTGTGTAAGATCCCAAATGCTCAGACTCCAGCTCTGCTTGAGTGCTGTATATAGTAAAAACTAGAGTGTGTGTGTGTGTGTGTGTGTGTGTGTGTGTGTGTGTGTAAGATCCCAAATGCTCAGACTCCAGCTCTGCTTGAGTGCTGTATATAGTAAAAACTACTGGTTCCATAAAACCAGAGCACACACTGTCAGCTCTCTCACCTCAGTGAGATCAGTGAAGACATAGATCAGTTGGGACCCAGGAACTCCAGAATGGCATGTTGGCCAAGCAAGCCAAAATCAAATGCAAAAGACATAGTATTGCAAATATCTTGCTTTTGCCCCTCCCTAGCTCCTTCTAGTTTTGACATCTTTCCCATGATCCTGGAAAAGGATTTGTACAAAGGACCTGATTAGGAATTAACAACCAATCAGAATGGTGTAGGACTCTGACAGATAAAAAGTCACCTTCGAAAACTACTTAGTTTTATAATAGGGGCAACCAATCAGAACAAAGCCCAGGGTATAAAAACCTCTAGGCTCAGAGCTACCTACACAGACACACAGAGGAAAGGACTCTCACCAAGATACTGGTCTTTGTAAACATCATGCTTCCTACAACAGTGGAAGGCATTGTCTGTATCTGAGCTGCAACACCAAGCAGGTGTTGTCTAGTACAGAACTACAACCCTAAGGACTCTGCCCACCATAAACAGCGAAAGAAATCCACATTATGAGGATGACACTTCTTCCTCACACCTTCATTGCCAGAAACCAGTTTTCTTCCCACACCTCTAAGACCAGGTAAAAAGGTAGTCTGATTCAGGTCTAAAGCAGTCATTTTCAAAAAATTCAGGCAAATGTAAAGCTAACTTTGATACATTGTTCTGTCTACAAAAATAAGGAAATGATAGATTTGTACTGTAGTCCCTCAAACTGTTTTGATCTTGTGAAGGCTCATTCCTTGGCCTAGTTCTGGAGATGGAAAGGGGATGGAAGAGAAACTACAGATCCAGGGTCAGGCTAATTTAATTGTAAAACTAGGTGTGATTGCTGCTTTTAGAGGGATAAAAGGAGAGAGGTACAGCAACTTACACATGCAACCATGCAAAAGGCTGTAAATTAATTGGAAACCAAGATGGCATTTTGCTACCAAAATAAATAAGTAATAATACTAATAATTAGGCTCTTATCGAGGGATATTCTAAGAGTCAAACTATAACAGGTTGAATAGTAAGCTAACCTAAAGGATCTTCTCTGACAATTTTCTTTTCTGTCAGTTGTAAGACTTGAACTCAGTGCCTGGGCGCTGTCCCTGAGCTTTTGTGCTCAGGGGTAGCACTCTACCATTTTGAGCCACACCTCCACTTCAAGTTTTCTGGTCGTTAATTAGAAACGGAAGGTGGCTCAGTGGTAAGGATGCTTGCCTTGCGTGCATAAGGCCCTGGGTTCGATTCCTCAGCACCACATAAGCAAAAAGAAAAAAGCCGGAAGTGGCGCTGTGGCTCAAGTGGTAGAGCGCTAGCCTTGAGCTGAAGAGCTGAGGGACAGCGCCCAGGCCCAGAGTTCAGGCCCCATGACCGGACCCCAACCCCTCAAAAAAAAAGTTTCATAGATTTTCCTGCCCAGGCTGTCTTTGAACCGTAATCCTCAAATCCCAGCCTCCTGAGTAACTAGGACTACAGGATTACAGTTGTGTGAGCCATCAGCACCGGGCTCTCTGACATTTTTTAATGTAAATTTTTATTTTCAAGCCAGAATTTGCTAAACCAAGCATACAACTTACCTTTCAGCCACATGATTGTCACAATAGGTTCACTTTCCTGATAAACGCATCTTCTACACCTGCCTCTGCACCAGGTGCACAATTAGATTTGGTCACTTCACACTTAAAATGGCAAAGGTAAAGGTAAAAGAGCCTCTTGCAATTTTCTTTGATTCAACAACTATGTAAATATCTAGAAATT